TTAAGAAAAAGGCTGTGGGTGTAGTTCAATAATAGAGTGCCCATAGGTTCAATCCCTATGCTATAACTTTTTTTTCATCTGTCTATTATTAGTTCAAAAAAGTTGAATGAAAAAAATTCTGATAATTAATAAAAAAATGAATAAAGAAAAAAGAAAAAAATTCTGGAAGGGAAGAGACCAGAATGTTAGCAGTAATCAATTTTGGAGTAATATGATTATAGCTAATTTTTATTTCTTTTTATTTCTTTATTTATGTACACTTTGAATCATTTTCCAAATTTTGTACAACACACAGAGAATTTTTAAAAATCCAAGACTTGAATATTTAGCATAAATAAATATCATAAAATTATTCTATCATTACAAAGAAAATAAACATCTTGCCTTGTTGTTTTGGGTCTCTTCAGATATGGTTTGTCATTTGATACAAAGGAAGAATAATACAGATTTCTCAACTTCTTACTTGTACAAGCTTTTCCTTGGGAAATTCATGTAACAACAAAAATATCCTGGTGGAGAAAAAAATCCAGTGACCTGACTGTTTTGTCTACATAATGACAAATCTCTTTAATGTTTCTAAATACACTCAACTCGTTTTAAACATTGGGATCCCTCTTCTAAGGAAGCAATTTAGAGAGACCATGTAATGAACAAACATGGATCTTCAAGATTAAAAATGGAAGGCTCCTAACTTATCTCAAACTACCACCAGAAAGGTAGTACCAGAAAGGTACAATATTTTTAAATGACTATGCTTTAAATAGCTCTGAAGATTATACTGTTTAAAATAATTTGCTCACTCAAACGATTAATAAAAAATTCTGAGAATATGAAATATCTTTAAGTATATATGCATGCAAATTTATATCCATATACACATAAAATACCTAACGTGATATGTGGCTTATCTGATATTGTATACACAGAGCTGGAGTTTTAATCTTATTCTCTGTGTATATAATGATTATCAAATTAATTGCACTGAATCCAGGAGCAGGGACAGGTTGAGCAGCTGCCCTGTTGATCTGGATGGCTTCTCTCCCTTCCTCTCCTTCTGAGGGGCTTGTCCCTTGGTCCCACTTGGTTTAACCGGGTCTCATTTTTCCATCTTGGAACTTCCCTTGCCTGATCCTACAATCAGTTGAGACAAGAGTTCTTTGGTTCAGTTCCGAATTCCCGCCCTGGGCTTCACAGTCACATTCAGCAAATCCAGACCCATCCCGATGAGATTGCAAAGAGAATCACAGAGTTATGTTGACAAGAACAAAAGAACATTTTATCACACCACTTTATGGGTGGGCTCACTCCCAAACCACACTGTGAAGTCATTACCAAAGCAACAGCTGTCTTGTGAATGGCAGAAGTGCCCCGCACTGTCTCTCTTTTGCTAAAATGCTAATTTGTTGAGAGTAAACAATAAAGTTAGACCATCATCAGCACATACAGGTCTGCAGACTTAGACTACCCTATTAATGGTTTGAATGTGATTCATCCCCCAGAACTCATGCAAGAGCTTAATCCTCAAAATTTTATGTTAATGGGATTAAGAGGGTGTAAACTGAATTCAGCTATGGTGTTTAGAGATGGGCCCTTTGCGAAGCAATTAGATTCGATTATGTCACTCATGTGAATCCCCCATGATTGAATCCTGGTGGCTTTGTAAGGAGAGGGAGAGAGAGCCCACACACAGAGATAAATGCACACTCCTGCCATGAGGTGATGCAGCCAAGGGGAGCCCTTGCCAGAACCTGTGCCAGCCATGTTGTTTGGACTTTCAGCTTCCAAAATCATGAGCCAAAATAAACCTGTTTTGTTTATGAAGTTACCTGCCTCAGGTACTTCATTATAGTAATGAAAAGCTGTATAATTCACACACTGCCCAACAAGCAAATTTCAATCCTTAATTAAGCTAAGCATAGTGAACCTACCCTTTTTGTGGTCCCCTGACACCCTGCCTCTTCACTGTACCTCTCTCAAAACACTCATCATATTCCTTCATGCATGTGCATTCCCTTTGCTGCAAGTAAATAAGCTCAATTTTTAAATTTTTAAATTTTATTTGCTTACGTGTTTTTAAGTTCTCGGTTTATTCTTTGACAACCTAGGAGTGATAAAATCAGTCTATCTGTGTGTGAGAGGATCTGGCCTAGAATACATCCTTCAGCACTTGACAGGGCTGCCTCCAAATCCAGCCTCAGCCTGAGTATTTCCTCAGAAAGGCTGCTCAATTCCCCTCTCTGTGGTCAGCGCCTCTGATTCTCCATCCTTTCCCTCCTAGGAGCACCTCCATCCCTAGGAACGTGGTCATCTGTTTATTGGGCTGCTGTCCATTTACCGGCACCCGTCCCAGGGCCCATATCCTGTCCATGTCCTGCTGGCTTTTAACACTAGTAATGACATTACAGTCAATAGAATATAAAGGCTGGTCATTTACTCTGTACCAGGCATGGTGTCGAGCACTTTGGGTGTATTATTACCCTATTCAGACGATTAAAAATAGAACTGTTTTCTAACTTGTTCAGGATAACACTAAGCCTCTTACCTGGATGGACACTAGTGATCATTTGGCTTATCGTTTAACACACAGACAATAGTATATCTCAACAATGCTTTTAATAGTGATCACATATTGAAATGATAATATTATAGAAGAGTTGGTGAAAATATATATATTATAAATAAATATATATATATATATATATATTCAAATTCACTTCTCTCTTTTAATTTTTTTCAAGTGGCTACTAGAAAATTTAAAATGACATACATAGCTCATAGTCATGGCTCACATTATACTTCTGTGGCAAGATCATAGATGTTTACATACCCAGAGTTCTGAAAGTATGTGAGGTGGAAAAATTACAGAGCCCATACAATTTAATTCAGTCTTGGCTAGAAAACATACTGAAGCTGGAGACCTTAACTAGCAGTTGCGTGAGGGAATTCAGGAAGAATGGAAAGACTGACCTGGATGCTTTGGGAAGACGACAGCCAGAGTTTTCATCTCCAGAGACAAACAGAATTTTCACTACAGAAACTAACTACATTACCGCTAAGGTTATAAACTATGACTTTCACAGGAGGTCCACCAAGCTTCAACTAGGCAAATATTCTCCTATCAATTTTTTTGGTCAGAAAGCGTCAAGGCACTCTCTGTAACAAACCTTGAAATAAACAAGGGGCAGACTGTTATGATGTTGTGGGCAACGTTTGTATACCACCAGAATCCGCACGTTGAAGCCATGCCTCCGAATGCGGTGGTATTTGGAGAGGGGAACTCTGGAGTAATTAGGTTTGGGTGAGGACATGAAGGCAGAGACCTCACCTTGGGATCAGGACCCTTATCAGAAGAAAGCCAGAGAGCCAGCTCTCTTCCTCAACCACGTGAGGATACAACAAGAAGCTGGCAGTGTGTGCCAGGCAGAAGATCCTCACCAGCACCCACATGGGTTGGCACCCAGATCTTAAAGTCACCGCCTCCAGACCTGTGAGAAGTAAGTGTTTATTCAAGCCAGTCAGTCCACAGTACTGCGTCTAACAGCCCATGCTGAGGCAGACATTGACAGATTCATTCTGTAAACATTGCAAACATGGATTTTTCTCCATCATACACACTAGTTATGAAGGCCTTGAGTTTCATATTCGGAGCTGTTGGCAAACATATTGCCACAGCATGCACGTCCTAGGTAGACTCCCACAGGGTCCACCTGTACTTACACACCTAGCTAGTGCTGGGAGTTCACCGACATTGTCTCAAAGTCTCTCCACAGACCTTCAGGCTGTCCAGGCTTTCAGAGATGAAGACAAGCAAGATCATGGGGGCAGGAAAGTGGCTCTTCTATCAAGAGCATGATGTAATCCCAGTTTCCTTACTCCTTCAAACTGAAAACAGAGGTGAAATAAATGACCTATGGTGAAAATCTGTTATGACTAAAAAGTTTAGGCTGAGGCCAGATGTAAACTTTGTGGGACAAAAATGCTCAGAAGACCGTGTGTTTTTACTGATCTTGGAATATCCTTTCCCCCAAGATGGATGGCTGCTTCTTGCCTGAAGACCACAGCACAAGTATGATCAACTCCACACAGAGGAAGGAACACACGACATTCCCAGGCCAGAGTCAAACGAACGCTGCCCGGCTTCCATGCTGTACTCAGCTGCAACACTTCACAGAGCTAACACGCCTTACAGTTAACACCAGGCCGTTAATGCCGTGTTCTGGATAACGCAACAGAAACTGCAAGAGAAGCATGAAGACAAATTGCACTTAATTCACAATTTTTCCAAGGATCAGGCATAAAATCAAACCGACTCTTCTAACCTCAGAGAAATACTCAAGGAACAAAAGTCTTGAGTTGGTCAGGAGGAGAGAGGGGGTGGATGTGTCCTTGTTGATCTTGACCCCTGCCTCACCAAACAGAAGTCTAGTATGTTTGAGAAAGTGAGCAGTAGGAGGGATGGGAGGAGGGTGACCCTGCCTTAGTGTGTTCAGGCTGTTATAACAAAATACCTTAGTCTGGGTAATTTATAAACAACAGAAATTTATTATTCACAGTTGTGAAGGCTAAGAAGTTTAAGGTCAAAGGGCCAACAGATTCAGTGTCTGGTGAGGGCTGCTGTCTGCTTCAAAGATGGCACCTTCTCACTGTGTCTTCATATGTTAGAAAGGGCAAACAGGTGTCCTTGGGCCTCTTTTGTAAGGACACTAATTCAGTTCACCTCCCAACATTCTGACCCAACTCCACACCATCACCTTGGGGTTACATTTCAATGCATGAGTTTTGAGAACATCCAGACCAAAGCTGATGTTCCTCTCTCCAGACCAGTACTATGTGATCCCATCTTACCGGGGAGAAATCCCTAGGAAGCCAGAGAATCACTTTGCTGTTTTTGTCTCAAGGATAAGACAGCTCCAATCTGTGAGCCGTGAGGCCAAATGGGTGGTGCAGGCTATTATGACAGAGGAAGCTCAGTTCCCAAGTCTCTCTCTCACAATGTCTCCCCATGAGAAAGAGTCAACAAACAGAAGAGATAAGATGATAGACTCCAGATGGTGAAAGTTAGAACAAGAAGCAGAAAAATAACAGAGATACTTGTAAAATGACTAAAAGCATAAAGAAGGAAGAAAAATATGGGGAGAAAAACACAACACAAGAGAACAGATGGACTCCAAAGAGAACTTCTAGAAATAAGACTAGTCATTGAAGAAGATCAGATCAATGAATGACAATGATCACATTGAACATTTATGGAATGATTCCTATGGCAGGTGTGGTAAGTGTGCATTACTGTATTAAATAACTTGATCTTCATAAATTCCTGAGGATTAAATCTGCTGCTTCTGCTTTAAGATGAGCAAACAGACATTTAAGAGCTGTTAATTAATAGACTTAGGTCATGATGTGCATCAAATCATTTTAGAGTGCTTTATCATTACTGAAAAGTTATAGTTGATTGAAAATACATAGACAGTTAAAAAGAGCAGAAGAGAGAATTAAAGAATTGGAAGATACACGTAAGGGGATTTCACAGCATGTGGTCTGGAGAGAGAAAAGAGATTAAATCGTGGGCCTGGACCCTCAGGAAGTAGAACAAAGCTGATGTGAACTATATAACTGATGCACGGTCTCTGGGGACTGTTTGCAGAGTGTGAGTGACACTCTGTACTCAGGACAGTTCTTCATGGGAGAAGAATTTACCCAATGGCTCTGGTCTCCCATTGGTGAAAGAGTTGCTCCACAGACGTTAAAGCCCCACACTTCTAGCATACAATAGAGAAGCTGAGGGACGGAGCCTAGAGGAAGCATCAGCATGTGCTTATGTAAAATCTGAAGTCAAGGTGGGGGAGCCATAGTTTTATAAAGATGAGGCCAAGAATATCTGAGCAGCATGTGAAAGGTATCTTATTTCTACCTCAGAAGTTAGGAGAAGTAGAAGGAAAAAAGCAGAAGGCCCAGCCTGTGTCTAACAAGCTGCCAAGATTAGAGAGAATTTTATGTCTCTCTAGACATAAAAATGTGATGGCTGAGAATTTTAAAGATTTGATTAAAACCTGAATTGCAGATTAAATATCCATGCACTCACTCACTGTAATTTTAACAACATGATCAAAAACCTTGACCTATATAGAAACCTTTGAAGTCACAATGTAATCATTACCACAACTCAGTCGCAAAAGGATAACTAGAAAATCTTCATGTGTTTGAAAATTAAGGAATAAACACCTAAATAACCCACAGAACAAATATTAGAGAAACTATTAGAACTTAATGATGTTAAAATACTGCTTATTAAAATTTGCGTGATGCAGCTAAGGCAGAAATTTTTTAGCCTTAAGTGCAGTTGAATTTTTCAAAGTTGTTGGATCAAAATCAAAATATAAAATTCAAACCAAGAACAGGGGTATATGCCTATAATACCTTGGGAGGTTGAGGAAGGAAGAGTGCAAGTTTAAAGCCAGTCTATGCAATTTAGTAAGGTCATCGGCAACTTAGTGAGAACCTGTCTCAAAATAAAATATAAAAAGGGCTGGGGATGTAGCTCAGTGATAAACTGTCCCTGGGTTCAATCTCCAGTGTGTATACACACACACACACACACACACACACACACACACATACACATATATGTGTATATATGTTTTGAATAAATTAAACCATGTTTTATTATTTCTTTAATAGGCTGTTAAAATTTTTAAATATGCCATTTACAATAATACCAATAATATAAAAGAATTAGAAACTAAAGAAACAAAAACTAAAACATTGTAAGAAAATTAACCCATTTAAATAAAGATACATGTGGCAACATTACTTGTAATGGCCTCTGCCTTGAATTCATTAATCAATTGCAGAATGGAAAAATAAATTGTTTGTATACATACAATATAGCAATGAAAATTAAGGTCTTCAGCTACAGGGAACAAAGAAATGAAACTTTGACAAGCAGATGCTTGTCAAACTTCAGTCAATGGAGCACAGAGAAAAGAAAACCAAACAATTTTAAAGAAAATAATAATAGCAGAGGTAACCGCTCTGTCCTATCAGGTATAGGTTTAGCATAAAGTTAGTAATCAAAACTGATCTGGTATTGATGTAGAGGCAAAAAGGGGCAGGGAGGGGGAGAGAACAGAGAGCTTACTAATTAACTCCATGTGAATTGATGCTCACTATATACATGTCTGCAGATGTAACACTGCAAAGCCAAAGGAAAGAATGCTGTAGCTTGTAAAGAATGCAGGATAATTTGTTATCTATATCAAAAAAGATATAGTCATACTCCATACGTAGAAAATAATTCCAGGATTAAAAAGAATTTAAACTATAAAACTTTTCTAAACAAACAAACAAACAAACAATAACAACAACAACAACAACAAAAAAAAAAACACAGGAGAACATCATCAGGATCCCAGAAAAGAATTTCTTCAACAAGGTATAAAGGACAAAACGTTGAAGAAGGATGAATAAGTTTGAGATTAAGGGGGAAAAAAAAGCATTTACACATCAAAAAAAAAACCGCATTTACACATCAAGGCACCAAAAACTAAATAAAAAGACAAACCAAAGATCAGAATAAAATGATTTCTATAAATGACAAATACTTTGTGCCCAAATATGTAAATAACTTCCAATTAATTAGCAACAAAAAGGTAAAGCTCACAGTTGATAAATAAGCAGAAAGTGGTATTTGCAATTCATGCAAAGGGAACTATATATGGCCAATTAAGGGCTAAGAAGGTTCACAAACTCACTAGTCAAACAAGCCCTCAGTTTACACTCATCAACATTCAGACACACCAAGTTTTACCAAGGATGTAAGGAAATGTGTACTCTGGTTCACTGATGATACAACTCTTCTGGAGATCAATGTGGCAGTTCCTAATAAATTTAAAACATGCTTTCTCTATGAGCCACCTAGGAATTCAAATTCTAGTTGTCTTGATGGTATATATACAAACACATGCATTGCAACTTTGTGAAATGAAAATTTGAAGGCAAACTTAGCCCTGTTTAGGGGGAAAAATAATGGCTTTATTTATATTAATGGATACTATGTAGCAGATATTTTCACAAATAAATCACATCAATATGTGTCAACATGGACCCAGGGACATAATAATGAGTGATAAAAGATAAGTTCCATAGACATACATATATATATATATAATGTGAAGCTATTTATTACATTAGAAAGACCATAAAACAATAATATTTACCTTTTACTGAGACTGCACACACACGCATACACGCACACACACTCAGAAAGCGTAAGTACAAAAGTGTGTATGGGAAGAGAGAAATCTAAGCCAAGAAGCCAAAGTTTATTAACATTTGCTGAATCTCAGATAAATTGGTGCAGGATGCATTACTTTTCGCTTGTTTGAAATGATTTCGAGTCCGACTGAAGTTTCTAAATTTAAATGCCATCAGGTGAGACAGCATCCTTCCTAGAGCCTCTTGACAGTTCTTGCTCTTTGCCCTGCACAGTCCAGCCCTGCCTGGAATTCAAGACCCAGTATGGAAGGACAACCCTTGATGTCTCAGTTGGTGAACCTCACCTATCCAGAGAGAAAGAAGGGCTCCCTGTACCTGCTCTGCCACACAGATGACCTGGGGTAACAACAGAGCACCTCCCAGTCTCCAGTGGGTGAGCTGAGTGGGCCGGCTATACAACCGGAGAGTGTGCCAGAGAGTGTGCCGAACAGCCCGCCTGGAGCTGATGCCGAGCCAAGGGCGAGGCATTCACTCTGGGTGCTCTGGGACAGACTGTGTGGGAGGACAGTTCCACCCTGTCTAAACTCGCTTGAAGGGTCAACACCACTGTGGTCTTCCTGTTTTGTTCAATGCTAAAGTAAAACTGCAGAAATTTAGAGCAAAATGTAGTCTTACCTAATGTAGCACAAAAGATGATCAATATGATGCCCAGAGGCTAAATTTAGCTCTCACTTATACATTGTTAGGCTCTCATTATGGACTTTTGGTTTTTAAACAAGTAGTTGCTAATATTTAGAATTTGAGATATTTCTAATACCAAATAGATTCCCAGCTTCGCTTTTGAAGTGATTGGGCACAACCGGGCCTGAATTCTGGAATGCCAAAACCCAGTTGGCTCTGAAGGTTTCCTCTTACTTGGGTGCTTCTCTTATGACCCTGCCTGCTGGTCTAATAAGGGTTTCAACACCCCCAATTCACAGGTGAGAAAACTGAGGCCCAAAATGGTCAACTGCCTTCATCAGCATCAGATAGTTTGTGGAGGAAGTCATGTTAGCGCACGTCACCCAATTATCAATTAACTGTTAATTCCTTTTCTCCAGAAGGTAAAGACCCATTTCACGATTTTGATGGCATATTTTCTATTTACTTCAGCAGATACAATGGAAATGATAATCCTTGAGGTTTATAACAAAGACTTATTGCAAATGATGATAAAAAATAGACTCATTATTATATTAATTAATTAATTATGATATTAATTAAAGCAAGAAGGTGCCAAGATTTGGCCAAACTCAAAACAGAAAATTCAACATGCAAAATATAAGTGAATACAATAATATAATTTAGAATGGCTTGTCTGCAGGTTGTATGGTCACTGGCTGATCTTTATAGGAGTATGATTCCTCTACCTTCCTGAATTTCCTTCTGAGCTCAGAAACATGTGCAACCCTGCTCTGGAACCCTTTCCCAGGCCCTCCCACAACATACAGTTCCCTTAGGTTTTTTACTTCTAAGATGTGTTTATTCCAGTTGAAGCTGTTAGATAATCCTCACTGATTTGCATGAGTTATATCCATCATGCCCAGCAGTATTTAACCACCTAGACTGGGCATTCCTCATCTATGAAAAATGCATTTCTGTTAGAGCCAAGTACATGAAGAGATTAACTGGATTACAAAAATCCTTTAGAATGTGAAACACTAAATAGCCTAAATGTAAATCAATAGGGCAATGGTTCAATTAACTTGGCATATTGGGGAAAATTATGCAACAGACTGAAAAAAAAGAGGTAGATCTTTAATATGACATAGATTTATAAGTTGCAAAAATGTACACTTATATGTACATGTACACATATGTAGCATGGATGATACCACATTAAAAACCTAAACATACTGTTTGTTCATATATGTGTATGTAAATGCATAGAAACTGTCTGAAAAGAAATATGGAAGTGGTAGAATGGATACCTCTGGGAAAATGAGAGAAGAGTTTTAGCTGCATCTATAATGTCTTAAATTAAAATTTAAATAGAAAAAAAAACGGGGATTATATGAGGCCATAGGTTCTGAAACTCTTTTCTTGGAACACATAAGGAATACTGTGATTGTTAGTTTCCAATCCATTATCAATCACAGAATCTGTAAAATATCTGCTCATCTTTTGAATAAAACTTGATAGACCATGTTATCATCCCAATTAACATTTAAGAGTAAAAATAGCATGAAGCATCTGAGAAGTTAAATTTCACCTCCACAAATTAAAATCAAGTCAGTCGACTCTAGGAGGCATAATAATTTTGAGGAGACTTTATTTTCAATGCTAAAGAATAAGAACTATGCGGTGGATTTAAATGAACCCAGTGCCACTTAAACTCCTAACAGAAATCAAATCCATGACATTGTTTAATGTATCCTGATACAAGTTTTCTTAATCTTTCAGTGATGCCACTTGCTTTCCCACAGTCAATGGAACATCGAAGGCCAAGTTTTGACAAGGAGGACACTAAGCCCCAGAAAGAGTGAGGGTGAGGTCATAACTAGGGTGAGCCGGGCTGGGACTCCCCGCAGGTTTCTCCTCCCAGTCCTCAGTCCTGGGCGCTTCCAGCCACCACAGCTGCCGGCTGTGCTTCACCGACCTCAAGTTGCGCATCCCCGTATCCGGTGTTCTCAAGTATCACCGCGGCAGTTATCTATCTGCCTATGGACGGACGGATCCTTCTATAGATCTATCTACTTCCTGACCTCTGGAAGCCTTTCCTCTTCATCCCTGTCTCCTAACGGCCTGGACAGGCCCCCTCCTCGCCTTGTCTTCCAGAGCCGCTCATTCCACCTGTTCCGGGCATACCCACTGGCTCCTCTCTGCGCGCTGCCAGTCGGGACCTGCGCGGAGCCCCAGCTGCGCCAGGCAGCGGCTCCCGGACAGCGCCCCTGCGAGTGGGGTCGGGCGGGACCCGCGTACACCCGGGGTGAGGACCCAGTGCGGCAGTGGGGGGCGCGCAGCAGGTACTCACCTTGCTCGCCGCGGGCGCGGCCGCCAGGAGCACCAGCAGGAGTCGAAGCAGGAGTGCCGGCGGCCTCCGTAAGGACCCGGGGCGCATGGTGGGCGCCGGCTCGGAGTTCCAGCGTGTCCAGGGGCCCACAGGCTCTCAGGCGACCGCGTCCCCTGCACCGTGCGGGCTGGGAAGCCCCTGGTGTGAAGCTCGCTTGGCCAGCCCTCCGGCACGGGTTTTGTAGAGCTCAGCCGCGCGGTCCGTCCCTCCCCATCCAGGCTTTGGTGGTGGCTCCAAGGGAGGGAAGAAGTGGCTCAGGTCCCGCCCTCGTCCCTCTCCCTCCCAACTCACCAGGCACTGTCCCTTCTACTGGGCATAGTGCCCAGGAAGCGAGAAAGGGCTAAGCGACTGCAGGGCAGGTGGGCGCCCATCCAGGATCGGGGTTCAGAAGGTGATGCTCAAAGGTCTTGGGGCGCAAGCGGGGTAGGCGGTGCGGGTCGGAGGTGAGAAATTCGGGGGGATGTGCGGTGGGGAGGCGGCTGCACAGGGTGGAGGGAGTGGCTACCGGCCCTGCCCAGATTAAGCGGGAGGCGCGCCGGGCGTCTGCACTCCGGAGGCCCCGCGAGCTCCCGGCTCCAGCGCCCGTGCGTCTGGCTGCCTTCCCTTCTCCAGCCCACCTTCAACTTGCGGCCGCCAGACTTGGCCGTGAGACCCTAGTGAGGAGGCTGCCGGGTCGCGGGTGGATTCTGGCTAGGCAGAGCCGAGGGATGCTCGCGGACTGAGAGGCGTCCCCCCAGGTAAGTCGCCCACAAGCTGGCAATCTGCGGCCCAAGGACCTGCCTGGGAGAGCAAGTGGAGCAGTTTAGGTAGGCATCCAAGGGTGACAGGGAGGGGGATCTGTTGGCTGGGGAGTAGTGGCCCTGGGGTCACCAGAGGAGAGCTTTTATAGCTCCCAGGCTTGTGTGCCAGGGCTTGAACTGGGTGCTGTGTGTTTTGATTAATTTGGAGGCTCGAGTTACCGGCCTGGCAGTTGGGGCATTCCAAAATGCCAAGAGCAAGAGGCAGCTGAGGGGAAAGAGAAAGCCCATCCACTGAGTTGAACTGGCTTTTCAGGCTAAATCTTATCTGCGGAAATGGAGGAGAAAACAAGACCCGACTCTGGTCCAGGGTGTCTCCCTCCTGAGATGCTGCGGGGTTGTGGGTCGCGGTCTCCGGTGGATTCGGGTTAGGCAGACGAGGAGGCCTTGGATGCAAATTTGTTGCATTGTCTTGTCAGGACTCTCTTGTGCCACAGACCAAATTGGCACGTTGGGTGAAGAATTTAGAGACCCTCTCAGAATAATGTTAAATACATAAAATACAATCAAAGCAGAATCAGTTTTTCTGGAACACAACCTTAAAGTACAGTACCAAAGTTATGATATAATAACATCCATGCATCATTGTTGCATTAAACAGCTAGATCTAACTGCAGGTCTATTAAGCAACTGTAATATTGGAGTGATACTGCAAATGATATTTTGAGAAAACTGGCCAATCTGAAATGTAATATAAAAATACTAGTGGTTGCAAACTCTCAAGAACTGCCAATACTATTGGGGTCTATTGCCTAAACTTGTAACTGAATGGAATGCTGAACTTCTGTGAAAGATTAGTGAAAATTAAGATGTCACTTTTTTCCCTATCCAAATTCACTGACCATCTGAATTCCATTCCCAGATTAAGATCCTTTGCTTTGAAGCAGTGTTGCTGACATCTGCTATGGTTGGTTAGCAAACACCAAGTAGGAACTCTGGTTGGTCAGTGATTGTAGGAAACCAATTACTTGCAATTAGAATCAAGGTCTAACAGGATTTTAAACATATGTAATCATTATAAAGAGGAAAGACCCTGACAGTGAGTGAAGACATCTTCCCACTATTTATTTATTTATGTTTTACTATGGAGTGAAAAGAGTCTTTTGTCTTTTGTGCCAGTGATTCACAACTGTGGCTACGCATTAGAATATTCTGAGGCATGTCTAAAAGTTCTGATACCCAATGGATCCCAAGCCAATTATATCAGCCTCTAGAGAACTCCCTATCAGTGTTCCTAGTGATACCACGCACAGGCGAGTTTAAGAGCCACGGTTTTACTTGCATATTTTAGTTAGCCGCATTGAATTAAGGCTTCTTGTTAGTAAAATAAAGAAGCAGACAGATAGAAAACTCTTTATTAAGATTTAGGGGATTTTGGAACACTGTTGTGTGTCTAGACTGTAGATGTTGCAGTGTGATGCATAGTAGTTTCTCCTGCTGGATAGGGAAGGTTTTTATGGAATTTTCTGTCATCCGAGTGAAGTAGGAAAGCAGATGCCCTGTTGAGGAAGTGACAATGTTCAAGAGTTCTTAGAGGCATATGATGATCTTTTTACACACTGATATTGCTTCCTGGAAAACAAAAATAAACAATCTCCAAAGTTAACTGTTCTTTCATTTGCTGAATCTCAGAAGGTTTCTCCATTTGGATTTTCATTGCTTTTCCTTGAACCCACATCATTTTGATGGACTTGGCTTTATCAGCATCAGAATGGTCCTTCCTGCTGCAGCAACAGAGCAGGAAAGAAATATGATGGAAACAGAGTGAGAGGGGAGCCACGAAGAGCTTGGTCTCCACACTAGACCTGGTTTGTGAATCCTGCCCACACGTGGTCGTGTGACCTAACCTCCCTGGGCTGGAGTCAGGATGATCATGGTAACACCCAGGAAATTATAGGAATATAATAATCCATCAGAGGCGCTTTGTCACAGATCTTTGCATGACAATCACATATTGCCATTTGATTCTTCAGGTGCATAAGGAAGAACAGACAGACATGATGAGAACCATGCTTTGGCATTCCTGGGGCCAGCAGCCTTGGCATCCCAGGGAGCTGTTGGGAATGGAGACTCTCAGGTCCCACCCCAGAACCACTGAATCAGCCTGCATTCTCCAAGGTCTTGTGATTCATATGCACAAGAAACTTTGAGAAGTGGCTTTTCTAAAAGCCATGCTTAACCATCAATCCCACCTCCCACAATACATGTGACCCAATTTACTACAACATTTGGTGTGCTACCTGCTGTCCTGGTTAAAAAAAAAAAAATCTTGATTTTTAAAAAATAACCTTGAGGTCAAGAAAACTGATTTTTTTTTCACAGTTGGCTCCTTAAATGTAAAAAAGAAAAAGGAAAAACTAAGGGAAAGTGGCAGTTCTTTTTGAAAAAAGGACACAGACATCTCTATTTTTGAGTTTGATATCAGATAAGGATTTTGAACAAAATGAATTGGCCACTGTCTTTAATTATTATTTCCTCCCTTTAAAAATCACAATGTCCTATTTTCTGCAGTGTTTAAATATGCCTGCTTCTCTGTATTTTCAGTGTAAGTCTCATTGGGGCAGGATTCTTCTTTGATTTTTACTGTTGTTGAATGAATGAATGAGCAAAGTTCAATGACTCAGCCCCTGTTCACTCTCACATCTGTTTTCTTCCAAAGTTCACTATCTTCTTATAGCCTCTGTTGCATGGGGATATGCCTCTGCTCTTGATGGGATAAGCTTCTCCAGGCTGCCTGTAGCTCCTTCTTTAATCTTACTTCATCTCCCTGTTAGTCAAGCCTGTTCTTTCAAGAACTTTCTCTTTTCATCACCTCTGAAACAATTAGACTATCAGACATTCTTGCAATCTCAAGTCATGATCCACTCAGGTGAGCTCTTGCCATCACATCTCTGGGTTCCTTTGCTGCTTTTCTAAGCTCACAGTTCTGGTCCTGGTGCCTGACATAAATATCATCTGTGGGTTTTTGTAGTCCTCTAGCCAGTTGCTGCAGCTGCAGGCTCTCTGAATCCATCTTCTATATATGTCATTGTCAGAGTTATCATTTAAAATTGCACAGCGTGTCAGAAAGCACTGTTTTGTTTTTTCCCTTCATTCACACTACCTGTTCATTGCAGGGCATAGGGATGGGGTAGAGTGGGGGCTGTGCTTACAGCCACTCAGAATCCTCCTGGAAATTCACCATTGTGATCAGCATGACTCTGAGCATCTTCTATGATTGCCTCAGAAGGGGAAGAGAATGTGCCAAATCAAAACTGTCCTGAAAGTTTCCCTGGATAGGATGTAAACTACTTCCACTCACACTTCATTGGTTAAACAGGCCACATGACCATGCTTCATTCTGGAGGGGCTGGGAAAGGAAACCTGCCATGTGCCAGAACTGGGTGGTGAATGTCAGTTATCCATCACACACATCACACCACATGCTTCGCCTTCACAGCTAACTGCACACTTCTTAGAATAGAATGGAGTGGTCCCAAGTCAACTCCTCCTGAGTCACCCAAGCTCCTCAAGTTTTCACAAGTTCATTGCACACACCCGTAGGTTCATGTCTTTGTACTTGCTGTTCCCACTGATGTGTGTCACCTTTTGCATGGTCCATCTGGAGCAGCTGCTCCTGCTTTAAGATTAGATCAAAGATCACAGGGCAGGTACTAGGGATTGAAATTGACCAAATTA